GTCTCAAAAAAAAAAAATGACAGCCGGGCGCGGGGGCTCACCCTTGTAATCCCAACACTTTAGGAGGCCGAGGTGGGAGGATCATGAGGTCAGGAGATTGAGGCCATCCTGGCTAATACAGTGAAACCCCGTCTCCACTAAAAATACAAAAAACTAGCCAGGCGTGGTGGTGGGCACCTGCAGTCCCAGCTACTTGGGAGGCTGAGGCAGGAGAATGGCGTGAACCCAGGAGGCGGAGCTTGCAGTAAGCTGAGATCGCACCACTGCACTCCAGCCTAGGCGACAGAGTGAGACCCCATCACAAGAAAAAAAAAAATTGTACTCCACATACACAATTATTATTTTTTATTATTTAAAAAAAATAAAAAATCACAGGACATGTAAATGATCCAAATACCCCGAATAAAAAACAGCTATTTTCAAACTAGATAAAAAAGCAGTATGCAAGGTATATGCTATCTACAAGAAATACATTTTAAATATAAAGACAAATATAGGGTAAAAGTAAAAGGATAAAACAAGAAATACTATGCTAACACTAGACAAAAGAAAGTACAGATGGCTATATCAGTACCAAAGCAGACTTCAAAGTAGAGGATATTACCAGGGGTAAAGAAAGTCATTTGGTAATGTTAAAGGAGTCCATTAATCAGGAGGACATAATTCTAAATGTTTATACATCTAATAATAGAGTTTCACGCCCTGCTTAATTTTTATATTTTTAGTAGAGATGGGGTTTCGCCATGTTGGCCAGCTGGTCTCGAACTCCTGACCTCAGGTGATCTGCCCACCTTGGCCTCCCAAAGTGTTGGGATTACAGGCGTGAGCCACCGTGCCCAGCCAATTTCTCATTTTTAAATTGAGGATTGATGAGCACTCCTGCTTCTGGCCATGGTGGAGTAAAAACAGTCAGATTTAAACATCTGCCTGAAACAACTGAAAAATCCAAATAAACATGAAAAAACAATCTCAAGATACTGGCCACAAGCAATAAAGGACACTGACTCTTAGTGTCCTTTACTAGATGGAAAACAAAATGAGCTACTGCCTTGAAAAAGTTTCCAGGCGGTAGCACAGGGATACAGACCTGAAAGAGAGCTCAGTAGACTGAACAGAGTAGGAGATGAGGTGAACAGTCCACAGAAACGAAGGTAACTCACAGGACAGAACACCAGGGAGAAGAGACCTTGCAAATAAAGCGAGTCCAGCGATCTGCAGAGTCCCACTCCATTCAGCAGAGTAATGATAACAAAATGAACACAAGGAAGATACCTGAGGGCAGGAAAAGAACCATCTAAAGAGTCAGAGAAAAGTGCGTAGTGCTCACAGAGGGCTGCTTGTTCTCATCACCCAGCACAGAAAAACCTTTCATTCACAAGGCACTGGGTAGAGTCCTCAGGAATGTCTTGTTGCAGTAGTAGAGAATAATTAGCCCTAGCCTGACCACTGCTCTGGAACCTCCTAATAAATCATAAAAAGCAAGACCCACAGTGATCAAAATGTTTAAAAGTAAGTTAACTGCATCCCAGAACAAAGTTCAAGAATATTCATAGAAAAACAAAAATATTCAGCAACCAAGAAGGTAAAATTCACAAAGTCTGGCATTCAATCAAAAACTACCAAGCAGGATGGAAGAAAATATTTGCAAGTCATATATCTGGTAAGGGATTAATATCCAGAATATATAGAGAACTCCTAAAATACAACAACAAAAAACAAACAACCCAATTTAAAAATAGACAAAGGAATTGAATAGATATTTCTCTGAAGAAGATATACAAATGGCCTATAAACCCATAAAAATATACTCAACACCACTTATCATTAGAGAAATGCAAATAAAAACTACAAGATACTATCTCACACCCATTAGAATGGCTACTATTAAAAAAAAAAACAGAAAATAACAAGCGGTGAGAGTGTGGAGAAATTGGAACCCTTGGACACTATTGGTGGGAATGCAAAACGGTACAGCTGCTGTGGAAAACAGTATGGTAGTTCTTCAAAATTTAAAAATAGAATTATCACATGATACAGTAATTCTATTTCTGGAACTATACCCCACAAAATTCAAAGTAGAGTCTTAAAGAGATATTTGTGACTGGGCACGGTGACTCATACTTGTAATCCCAGCACTTTGGGAGGCCGAGGCAGGCGAATCGCCTGAGGGGAGTACGAGACCAGCCTGACCAACAGGGAGAAAACCCGTCTCTACTAAAAATACAAAATTAGCCAGGCATGGTGGCGCGTGCCTATAATCCCAGCTACTCAGGAAGGTTGAGGCAGAAGAATTGCTTGAACCCGGGAGGTGGAGGTTGTCGTGAGATATCTGTACACTCATCTTCATAGAAGCATTATTCACAATAGCAAAACCATGGAAGCAACCCGAGTATCCAACAAATGGATGGATAAGGAAAATGGGGTCTATATATACAATGAAAATTTTTTTTTCTTTTTTTGAGATGGAGTCTCGCTCTCACCCAGGCTAGAGCGCAGTGGCACAATCTCGGCTCACTGCAAGCTCTGCCTCCTGGGTTCACGCCATTCTCCTGCCTCAGCCTCCCGAGTAGCTGGGACCACAGGCGCCCGCCACCATGCCCGGCTAATTTTTTGTATTTTTAGTAGAGATGGGGTTTCACTGTGTTAGCCAGGATGGTCTCGATCTCCTGACCTCGTGATCCGCCCACCTCGGCCTCCCAAAGTGCTGGGATTACAGGCATGAGCCACCGCACCCGGCCTATATATACAATGAAATTCTGACATACACTACAACATGGATGAACCATGAGGACAATACTGTAAGTGAAGTAAGCTAGTTACACGACAAGTACTGTATGATTCCACTTACATGAAGT